TTACCTAGGGCTTCAGACTCAGTTGTCCCTCTCCTCCTGCCTGTGTTTCCTTGCTTTGGGGTCCTGACTGAGGAAGGTGTCCAGGGACAGAGTCAGGCCTAAGGACTGGGGAGCCTCCTCTCACCTGACCAGACTCTGACCCACCTACCTCAGCTGGGATGAGGGGTGCCCCTCTTATTCGGTCATGTGGTTTCCAGTTACCACATTCCCCACTCAAGACTCTGGCCCAGCCTCAACTGTTATCTCTTGGGGCTTGACTGAGGGGAACAAGCATTTGCTGAAACTTGAAAACAAAACAAAAAACAGGAAAAAATCGTACCTGGTACATTTTTTTAGAAAAAAAAATAAATTCTTGTTTGGAAACTTGAACTAAGTTCTACTTTTTTTCTGTGTTCAGAGGATGCGGATGGAGAGGTAGGACCTAATGGAGCTGGAACTGTTCTCTCTTCTAAAGGGGAAGCAACAGGCTGCTAACCCCGTGGGATCTTAGGCGAAGTCGGGCTGATTCTTGGAGCATAGTCCTATTCCTCTTCATATGATAAGGTGTTGGGGGTGGGAGGGTAGAGTGAAGCTATAAAAGCTAAACTCTGAGGATCTGGATTCTTACACTAATTCCCTAGGTCACTTCAGCCCTTCAGAACCTCATTGTCCTTGTATGTCGAACAAGGATGAAAAAGATGGTAATAGAGCTGGAGAGATGGCTCAGTGGTTAAGAGCATTGTTTGTTCTTCCAAAGGTCCTGAGTTCAAATCCCAGCAACCACATGGTGGCTCACAACCATCTGTAGTGAGGTCTGGTGCCCTCTTCTGGCCTGCAGACAGGATATTGTATACATAATAAATAAATAAATAAATATTTTAAAAAAAGAAAAGAAAAAGATGGTAATACAGGCCGTTTAAGGGCTGTATTCGAGAGTGTCAGAGATTGAGCAAGGTGACATGCTCCAGACAAAATGAAAGACTGAGGCTCTTTGCTGGCCTCAACGTAAGGAAATCACGCCTGACAGTATCTGGCTCAGAAAATATGGAAAGAACTGTTGACGCCTTGGGAAAAGAAGGAAGAGGGGAAAAAAAAATCTCCGCCCAGTCGTCAAGCAAAGTTAGGCCTCCTGGTTACCATGACAACGGGAATGGGGGTCAGTCCCCAGTGGGTGGGTTGGGCACAACAGCCCGACTACCCAAGAATGTCACTATGGCAACCACGGCAACTCGTCAGCGCCAAACCACTGATTGTTATGGTGACAGATTAGGGCAGTTATACGAGCTGAGGAGTAAACTGAGTCACGGCTGTGGATACAGAATTTGGTGGGAGGTGTTTCTGTACCACTTGCAGACAGACTATTACCTCGGTTTCGACTACAATACCCAGGAATTTCTTGACACCCAGAACAAACTTGCAGCCTCGGGCTCTCTCTTCAAAGTCTACGTTTCCCAGGGAACGATTTGACGTACGCTCTGCTAAGTACGCCGATTGGGGGGCGGGACGGACGAGGGCAAAAGTGGAATGAGACGCCGGAAGTACGTCGGGCGGAGTGGAACATCAGGAGGAAGGGCTCGGGTTTAGGCTTCAGGAGAGACCGCTCTGCCCCACCTCTCGTTGGTTCCGGAGGTCACTGAGGCTGTGGGAAATGCTGGCGCGCGCGGCGCGGGGCACTGGAGCCCTTCTGCTGAGGGTGAGGACGAGGCAACCTTCTTCAGAGGCCCGGGACAGAAATCACCTGGGTCCTCAGCTGGGAAGGAGCGGGATTCCAACTTTGGGGAAGGACTGGGGTCAGAGGTCATGGTCCCCACGTGAGTCATTCTCCGGGGATCCTTGGGGGTCGCGATTTAGGGATATGCCTTTCGAATAGAAGTCGGGTTCCGCGCCGCGTCCTCAGTCGACTCTGCTCTTTCTTCAGGGCTCTGTGCAGGCTTCTGGCCGCGCTCCGCGCCGCGCCTCCTCTGGACTGCCCCGAAACACCGTGGTGCTGTTTGTGCCTCAGCAGGAGGCCTGGGTGGTGGAGCGGATGGGCCGTTTCCACCGGATCCTGGAACCTGTGAGAATCTCTTTTGTCCTCCTCCAGCCAGCCAAGTGATCGGGTCTCTTACTCATGTGGGAGTGGGGCTTACCCGGGGCCTGTCTACACTTTTGCCTTTTGACTACTAGGGACCATTTCTAGCGGGGACCAGATCTGACAGAGCCCCTGACCCTCACATCCGTGTTCGGCTGCTTTCCTTTTACCCAAGTATTCCACAGGCTGCATTCTTGAAGCTAACCTTCCTCTCAGCCTCACCTGTCTGCCTAAAAATGCCAATTCTTGCTGGCTCCCATTCTCTTGACATTCAGTAGCCTAGTCTTTCATCCTTGTGCTCTTAGGTTTCCCTATCAGTGACACCTCAGCCTTTGAGGACGCGTCCTGGTAGAAGCTATCGCTTTCCTGGGGTCCGTACATGACTTTCTGCTTACTCCAAACTTAGCTTGGATTTCAGGTTTATTACTCCCACTGAGAACCTATGACTTCTTTTCCCAGGGCTTGAATATCCTCATCCCTGTGTTAGACCGAATCCGATATGTGCAGAGTCTCAAGGAAATTGTCATCAATGTTCCGGAGCAGTCGGCTGTGACCCTTGGTGAGAGACACGGGGTGATGGGGATGCGCTAAGTGCATTCAGATGTGATTGCCATTATCTGGGGCTTAGTTTGAAACAAGAGCTGGTTGGGACAAGAGGCCTGACCACCTTCCTTTTCTCTTTCTTTTGCTTCTGTAGACAATGTAACTCTGCAAATAGACGGAGTCCTTTACCTGCGGATTATGGATCCTTACAAGGTATCTGCCCCGGCTTTATCAGGCCTTCTCAACTGCCCCTCATTAAAATGCATCTTTATTTCTTACCCCGTACTTGCCATTTTCAGGCAAGTTATGGTGTGGAAGACCCTGAGTATGCTGTCACCCAGTTAGCTCAGACGACGATGAGATCAGAGCTTGGCAAACTCTCTCTGGACAAAGTGTTTCGAGTAAGCAGATCTGGGCCCGAGGGCTTGGGGGCACATTCCTTGCCCGGCCAGAGCTTTTCTGGAGATCAAGATTAGCCCGGGACCTTCCCAGTTTAGGCTCTTGATAGCTACAGTGACTTGTACCTGCTCACATTTATCCCTAGGAGCGGGAGTCCCTGAATGCCCACATTGTGGACGCCATCAACCAAGCTGCTGACTACTGGGGTATCCGCTGCCTGCGCTATGAGATCAAGGATATCCATGTGCCACCCCGAGTCAAAGAGTCTATGCAGATGCAGGTGGGGGCGGGATCAGAATCCCCTACTGTGGTAGATAGAGCTGTAAGTCCTGGGTAGGGTTCCCCCTGGCTTCTTCTTGATGGGGGGTCGTCGGGGCTTCCAGGTAGAGGCAGAGCGGCGGAAACGGGCCACAGTTCTAGAGTCTGAAGGGACACGAGAGTCAGCTATCAATGTGGCAGAGGGGAAGAAGCAGGCCCAGATTCTGGCCTCGGAAGCAGAAAAGGCTGAACAGATAAATCAGGCAGCAGGTGAGTAGCATAGAGGCTGAGGGAAGTGCTGGAGCAGGAACTTTGGGGTACTCTCATTTCTTGGGTCAAACTGTCTTTTTTTTCCCTTCCAGGAGAGGCCAGTGCTGTTCTGGCCAAGGCCAAGGCTAAAGCTGAAGCGATTCGAATCCTGGCTTCAGCTTTGACTCAACATGTGAGAGGCCGATGGGTGGGAATGGGGGGTAGGAATAGACAATTAAAGGGTTCCGCTCACCTACCCTTATGGAGGGTTCCTGACACTGTGGACTCCATTAAGCCAGACGACATGAGCTTTGTATTAGGATTTGTATACCGCTTCTCCAGGAACCTGGCCTTTCTCTTCTCCTTAAATTTGTGACCTTTGATTTTAACCCTCTGTGCCCACAGAATGGAGATGCAGCAGCTTCACTGACTGTGGCTGAGCAGTATGTCAACGCGTTCTCCAAGCTTGCCAAGGACTCCAACACAGTCCTACTGCCCTCCAACCCCAGTGACGTCACAAGTATGGTGGCTCAGGTTAGAGCTCTTTGAAGACAAGCGTACAATAACAGTGTCAGGAGCTAAGAATGGAAATCCCCACTCAGTCCTGCAGATACCTGTGCCAGTGTTCTGAGTCACCCCGGGGTTATCGTTTGCAGGATTCTTATCACTGACTGCAATGCTTAGGAAACTTGAAGGAACAAGAAAAAACAAGGGGCTGGGGATGGTGGTACATGCCTGTAATATCAGCACTCAGGAGATGCAGGAAGTTCGCAACCTTGGCTCAGAAAAAGGGGAAGAGAGGATGAAAGAGAAAAGGGAGCCGGGTGGTGGTGGCACACGCCTTTAATCCCAGCACTCGGGAGGCAGAGGCAGGTGGATCTCTGAGAGTTCGAGGCCAGCCTGGTCTACAGGAGCTAGTTCCAGGACAGGTTCCAAAGCTACAACAGAGAAACCCGGTCTCGAAGAAAAAAAAAAGAGAGAGAGAAAGGGGAAAGCAAAGGGAACAAAGGAGTTGAGCGGCTCCTGTCTGGTCTGGAGCGGATCTTCTGCAGTGTCCTGATGGTTCTTCCTCTCTCTGCAGGCCATGGGTGTATATGGGGCTCTCACTAAAACCCCAGTGTCTGGAGCCCAGAACTCCAGCGAGAACAGCAGAGATGCCCAGGGTACAGATGCAAGTCTTGAAGAACTGGGTAGAGTCAAGCTCAGTTAAGGAGATGGCTTGGCCAGGGAGTCTGGGGACAGGAAACCTCTCTCAGATTCTGGCTCTAGCCTCCCTGCTAAAATTTTAGTTTTTATTTTTTTATTTGAACTTAATAATCATGTAATAAACTTACCAGCGGCAAATTGGAAACTGTCCTTTTTGATTAGGGAATGAAGTTAGAAAAATCACTCATGCTTTCTTTGGATGACCACTCCCACCCTTCAGCCCAGGCAGGTCTGGGGAGCTGATTCTCCTCAAGAATGAACTTCACAGGACATGAAATCATCCTACACCGGAGAGGGATTAAAGCTTGTGTCTACTGAACTGTGAGCTGGAGAGTTGTTCCCTCCCTTCCTGCTGAGTGGTGCAGGTGTTTGGGTAAACATGGGGAAAGAGGACTACCTAGGCAGAATGGTACTTCAGCGGTCTTGAAGGACTGAGGGTGCATCTCGTTCGTTCAAAACCCTTTAATCTCTACCGTGTACCAAGTAGAATGTTAAGATACCAACTAGGGTTTAAAGCAATACATACCTAAAATCCCAGCAGGATTGTGAGTTCAAGGCCAGATTGAAGTACTTAGTGAGACCCTGTCTCAAAAGCAGCAGCAATAAAGTTGAACCAGGTGGCCTCTGCTTCCCCGGAATACAAAGTCAGGTAGGGAAGGAGACAGTGATAGAAAGTCATAAACAGGGCTGGTTACCAGGGGGCTAAAGCCTCTTGCTGTGCAAGCCAAATGACTTGGTTGGATCCCTGGAACCATGCAAAAGCTGGAAGAACCAGTTTCACAAACGGTGTTCTCTAACCTCCACACGCACACCGTGGCACACGCACACACATAGTCATCTTTAAGTCATAGTGCTCTGATGAAAGAACTAACGTGAGTTAGCTTGGGTTCCAGGAAACGCCAATGAAAATGACATCGTAGCTGAGATATGGAGGGAAAGAGACCCATCTGGTGATCTGGAAATGAAGTGTGTAAAAAGCAGTATGTAAATGCTGAGAGGCAGAGCACATCTGGCTTATAAACACAAGAGAAAGGAACTGCTGTGGCTGGGACAGGTAACAGAAGCAAGAAGTAGCAACTGGATATATTTAACGGGAAAGGAAGAAGTACATTTGTAGGACTGTAGATAATCTGTAGATAAAGTGCCCCATATTTACTAAGAAACCAAAAGAAAATTGAGTTGTTTTTCCTGCCAAGATACAACTCACATATACAAATTGCCCTTTTTGTTGTTCCTGGTGGTAGGCCCTCTGTGTAGTCCAGGCTGATCTTGTGGTATACCTGCTTTCAGCTTTCAAGTGCTAATACAGGTATGTGCTGCCATGTTCAGCCAACTTACCCATTTTATGTATGTTAGGCTTTTAGTTAGCTCTCTGCTTACTGTTTTTGAGACAGCGTTTCGTGTGTCGCAGGCTGGCCCCAAACTAGCTAGCCTCTACCTCTCAAGTGCTAGGATTACAGATGTGTGTAACTATACCAGATGTTATGGAGTGCTGGAGATCTAACCCAGGGTTTTGTACATCTTCCATCAACCAATAAACCCAGTGGATTTTAATATACTTAGAGTTTGTGTAAGCACACATTTAGAACGTAGACCCCTTCCTACGCACACTGCCGCATGCGCATGCCAGGTTTTGTTTATTCGCTAATGGAAATTTGTGTTTTGATCTTTTGGTAATTATAGATGCTACTTTGGGTGTTTACATATAGGTGTTTTGGTTTTTGGAGACAGGGTTTCTCTGTGTAGCCCTGGCTATCCTAGAACTCGCTCTGTAGAGCAGGCTGACTTCAAGCTCACAGAGATCCACCTGTCTGCCTCTTAAGTGCTGGGATTAAAGTTGTTCACCACCACCTGGCACATACAGGTTTTTATTTAGATGTATTTTTATCTTGGTGTGTAGTTTCTCTAGTTTCTCTTTGTTTCTCACTGTGATAAAGTGCTCTGGTAAAAACATCTAAAGGAGAAAGGTTATTTAGCAAACAATTTCAGTTCACAGTCCATCGTGGCCCGAAAGTCACAGCAGTGAGAACAGGAGAGACGGCTCAGTAGTTCAGAGCACGTACGGCTCTTGTAGAAGACTAGAGTTCATTTCCCAGCCCCCACAGCAGGGGAACTGCAGCCTTACATAACTCCAGCTCCATCAGAATCCGACACACCAACCTCCATGAGGCACATACTCACACACAAACACATATAACTAAAAATAAACTAAAAAAAAAAATTTGAAGCAGTTTTTTTTTGTAGCGTTCGCATTACCTCTGTAATCAGAAGAGAACGATGAATGTTATGTCTGCTTACTATTGGCCTACTCTCAGTCTGTTCAGGGTCCCCTGCCTAAGGAATGGTGCCATCCACGGTGGACGTGTCTCCCCACCTCAGCTAACATAACCGAGATAACCCCCACAGGCGCGTCCAGAAGCCCATTCCCCAGGTGACTTTAGGTTCTGTTGACAGTTACTATTAAGCATCACCCCTGGGTATCTATGTAGGCGTGGAATTTCTGGGCAATACATCAGCTAAACCTTTTGAGAAGCTGCTGTGCCATTTCGCAGTTCCGCCTGTGTGACGGCCCCAGTTTCTGCACATCCTTGCTAGTACTTGTCACCATCTTTCTTCCTCCGTGTTGCGGGTCTCTGTTGGCACAGGCTGGCCTTGAACATGTGGTAATCCTCCCGGAGTCCTGGGCTTACAAGCAAGCATTCCAGCTATTGTTTTCTTTGGTGTGCTAGGGACTGAACCCAGAGACTTGTGTATGCCAGTCCAGTACTCTACTGCTGAGATACATCCCTAGTCTGAATTAGGATAATTAAAATGCCACTTCTAGCACTTCCCAGATGGCTCATGACGTTAAGAATCTTTCCATGTGTGATGGCTATGTGTATCCTTTTTAGAGAAATGTCTAGAGGCCACTGTTCATCTTTAAATTGCATTATTTGATTATTATTAATTAGATTTTTTAATATGATGAGTGTTTTTGCTCACATGTATGGATATGTACCATATGTGTGCCTGGTGCCTTTGAGGTCAGAAGAGGGCTTTGGGTCTCTTGGAACTGGTAAGATTCAGCTAACAGTTTTTTGGTGTGCTACCACCGCCCGGCCAGCTAGTAGTTTTGAGAGCAGTGATGAATGCTATCAACTGGAATCAGCTAAACACAGAGGAGAAAAAGGTCTTTCTTTTCCATGCCTCATGTGCATGTATCCATGTTTCTGTATGTGTGTGGAATAATCCTCCATCTTTATTCCACCTTGCTCACTGAAGTTGGGGCTGGTAATTAAACTCAGAGCTTGACAATATGAATAGTCTAGCTAACCAAGTTTGACTCCAGAAGTGCTAACAAAAAATAGGCAGAGGCAAGCGGATCTCTGAGTTCGAGGCCAGCCTGGTCTACATAAGTTCCACAACAGCCAAAGCTACATAATAGAATAGACCTTACTCAAAAAAATAAACAAAAGACGGCTTAGTTAGTGGTTAAGAGCAATTGCAGCACTAAATGCATTTGGTACACTAATATATTCAGGTACACAAAACACATTCACATAAATGTGAACACATTCACACTTTTAAAAAAAGTGTTCCCTGAATTTGTTTTTCATGTTTATGTACACACCGGTCATCCTCCCAATTCTCCCAACTCTTAGAACTTCGATCAAACTTGCCAGCCTTCCACTCTGGAGCCGGCCGGCAGGTGGCGACGAATCTCCTGCAGGGCGCTCTGTCCGACGTGCGCACCTCTGTGGTGTCAGGCTACAGGCACCGCCGCTGCACTTCCGGGCGCGGATCCAGGTGAGCCAAGGTCTCCCGAGAACCCTCTGTCACAGCCATCCCTAGGACAGGTGCCTCAGCTTGCTGCCGAGGTGCCGGGCACCGGAGTGAGCATGCCCACGTGTTGGCCGGGTTTCCACCGGAGGAGACAGAGCCGCCGGGACTCCTGGAGCCCAGCTTAGCTCAACGGGCTCTAGACCAGGGCTCCTGGGGACGCCGGTCCTCGGTTTTCTGTTGATCCTGGCCGCCCGGAAGCGGCGCGTGACTCCTCCCTCTCGTCTCCTCCGCCCCCGCCAGGCGGCGCCGTTTACTCAATCCGGTTTTCCGTGTGGCTGCTTAACATTGCCACCCTAGCAGTGTTGAGATAGTCCGAAGGGATTCATTGAAATGAATTGACAGAGAACCATCTACCAGCCGTTTGGAATAGTCTTGCTTCTGGACTGTGGTTTAATAGCATTAGATCTCCTGGTTGTATATGCCCAGGTTCTTATGCTCACGTCCGGAGCCCGAAGCAATAGGTGTAGTGTGGGTTCCAGGTTGAGATCCAGAGTCTCTGCATCTCTCCCTCAGATGATATGACTGGTAAAAACAGCTGGAATGAGTTGGCTATGAGTTGCTTATATCCTGAAGTTTATTGCAGTAAGTGGTTGTTGTTGGGTATTGTTTTGAGGGACAAATATCCACTCCTTCTTTGCACCACAATGAAAACTTTCCTCTTCTCCACCAGGATGCAGAAAGTCTCCGTGCTCCTCTTCTTAGCCTGGGTCTGTTTTCTTTTCTACGCTGGCATTGCGCTCTTCACAAGTGGCTTCCTTCTCACCCGTTTGGAGCTCACCAACCAAAGCAGCTGCCAAGAGCCCCCCGGCCCTGGTTCCCTACCATGGGGGAGCCGAGGAAAATCTGGGGCCTGCTGGATGCCATCCCGGTTCTCCAGGGTTGTGTTGGTGCTGATTGACGCTCTGCGATTTGACTTTGCCCAGCCTCAGCGCTCACATGTGCCTGGGGAACGTCCTGTCTCCGTGCCTTTTCTGGGAAAATTAGGCTCCTTGCAGAGGATCCTAGAGAATAAACCCCACCATGCCCGACTATACCGATCTCAGGTGGATCCCCCCACGACCACCATGCAGCGTCTCAAAGCTCTCACCACTGGTTCCCTGCCTACCTTTATTGATGCTGGCAGTAACTTTGCCAGCCATGCTATAGTGGAAGATAATCTCATTAAACAGCTCAACAGTGCAGGTCAGTATGTACCTCTTTGGAAGCCAGGCGTAACTGGCCTTTAGCAGGTGGGGAGCCAGGACTTAGGGTACTCAGCTGTAAGTTTGACCATGGTGAAGGGAAACTGAGGAGTAGAAATAGATGGGACCTTGCTTGTGGAGAACTCAAGAGATTTTTTTTTTTTTGTCCTTGATGAAGCTTCTGATATATACAAAATGTTTAACTCTTGGGCGCTCCCAATTAAGGAAGAAAAGAAGGCAGGAGTCTTGGCTTACAAATGTGGAGAAAAGAATAGAGGTGTTCACTGACTGCTTGGGGAAAAAAATAGGTCAGAACATAATGCATATGCCTTTAATCCCAGCACTCAGGAGGCAGAGGCAAGAGGATCTCTGAGTTCCAGGTTAGCCTGGTCTGTATAGTGAGACCTGTCTCAAAGCAAGCAAACATACACACATGTCAGTAGAAACCCTAGGGACCAAGGAGTAGCAGATCATTTTGTAGGAGTGGAATGTGGTTTAGGGGGAATGTGGTTGTCAGAGAAAGCTTGATGGGAAATTTTAGGTGATACTGAATGAATTCCTATACTTGGAGATGTGTGGTTGGGATTCCTATTGGAACGCCGGCCAGTGGTGGCACACGCCTTTAATCCCAGCACTCGGAAGGCAGCGGAAGGCGGATCTCTGTGAGTTCAAGGCCAGCCTGGTCTACAAGAGCTAGTTCCAGGACAGGCTCCAAAGCTACAGAGAAACCCTGTCTCAAACAAAACAAAACAAAACAAAAAGAAAGACATTCCTATTGGATATGTGTATATACACGCACACACACACACACACACACAGCGTTCTATGTGCAAGTGCACATACCATGGTCCGCATGGAGATAAGAGGTCAGCTTTAGAAGTCGATCCTCTCCTTCCACCATGTGGGTTCTGAGTCTTGAACTCAAGTTGTCAGAGTTGGTGGCAAGCACTTTGACCCACTGAGCTATCGCACCTGCTCTCTGATGGGCTTTTTAGATCTTCTCTCATGCTCTCCCCTGCTCTGATTCCCCTCTTGACTCTACAGGAAGGCGTGTTGTTTTCATGGGAGATGATACCTGGAAAGACCTTTTCCCTGGAGCGTTTTCCCAAGCGTTCTTCTTCTCCTCCTTCAATGTCAGAGACCTACACACAGTGGACAATGGCATCCTAGAACATCTCTATCCTACCAGTGAGCATGGGGAGAGAGCGCTTGGGGCCTCCCAACCCTGGAAGTCCGAGAGGGTGCTTTTAGTCTATAGATGCTGGCTGTGGCAGAGCGCGTGGCTGTCTCCCTGGGCATACAGGAATGCCAAGGCTGGGCTCGGGTGAGGAGTGGGCCTTGCTGCCCTGTGCTCAGTGTTCTCCCCTCCGCAGTGGACAGCGGTGCCTGGGACGTGCTGATTGCTCACTTCCTGGGCGTGGATCATTGTGGTCACAAGCATGGCCCTCACCACCCTGAAATGGCCAAGAAACTTAGCCAGATGGACCAGGTGATCCAGTGAGTGTGGGATATTGGCCGGGGGAGTGGAGTGGGTTTATGTTTGAGAATCTCAGGACATAGAATACTATGAGGAAAAACACCTTATTTGGAGCCTCTTTCCTGGATGAATGTATGTTTGCATGTATGTATGTATGTGTGTATGTATGTGTATATATGTGTGTGTGTGTGTGTGTGTGTGTGTGTGTAAGTATTTTGAGACAGGGTCTCATTATATAGCTCTGACCTGGAACAGTATAAAACAGATCAGGCTGGACTGAAACTCACGGAGATCCACCTGCCTCTGGCTTCCAAGTGCTGGGCTTAAAGGCATGCACTTTTGTGCTCTGGCTCTGAATTATTTTATACAGGCCTTTTCCCCAAAACTTAGGAGCACCATCCATTTTGAATAACTTGGCTTGTGCTCTGGGCTACAGAGTTATGACTGAAGAGATGTCTTTTTGACTGTTATGGAAGTCAATGGTGGGGCTGAATGGGCCCCAGAGGAGAGTCTTTATCTCTCCCTACCCTCTGACACATTTCTTGGCCCTCAGGGAACTTCTGGAACGTCTGGAGAATGACACACTGCTGGTGGTAGCTGGTGACCATGGGATGACCATGAATGGGGACCATGGAGGGGACAGTGAGCTGGAGGTCTCAGCTGCTCTCTTCCTGTACAGCCCCACCCCCCTCTTCCCTACTGTCCCACCGGAGGTGAGGCCTGGTTGTCCCTCTTCTGCTCTCCCCATATTGTGACCCAGTCTTCGTAGGCTCCCCAAACCACGATCTGGCCCCACTCTCATTTATTTTTATTTATTTGTGTGTGTGAGAGATATGTATGTGGCATATGTGCACATGTGTGTGCTGGTATGACTCATGTGTGCAAAGAGGCCAAAGGACATTGGGGATCCTGCTCTCGCATGCTCCACCTTCCTGGTGGCCAGAAATCCTGTCTGCCCACCACGGCACCAGGTTACAGACACACATGGTCATGCCCAGTTTCCTACATGGATTCTGTGACCCAAACTCCGGTCCTTCTGTTTATGCAGCAAACGCACTCACCCACTGGACCGTCTCTCCAGACTCTCTTTCCCACCATTCTTACCTAGGCCTGATGAACCCCCCGATATCTGTCCTTTCTTTCTAGGAGCCAGAGGTTATTCCTCAAGTCAGCCTTGTGCCCACACTGGCACTGCTGCTAGGCCTGCCCATCCCATTTGGGAACATCGGAGAAGTGATAACTGAGCTGTTCTCAGGTGGCAATGACTCCCATCCTCAGGCCTCTGCTCTGGCCCAAGTCTCAGCTCTCTATATCAATGCCCAGCAGGTAGGTGAAAGGACTAGACTTGTGTGTGCTTAAGTATGAGGATGAAACACACCATTGTCCTTCCCATCCTCACCTCGCCTCCATCACATAGCCACGCCCTTCTCACATCCTGGATAGAGTTTGGGCCCCAGGTTTCCAAGTACCTCTGTCCTTACCCCCATCCTTACCTCCATCCTTACCTCCGTCCTTACCCCATCCTTACCTCTGTCCTTACCCTAGTCCTTACCTCTGTCCTTACCTCCGTCCTTACCCTAGTCCTTACCTCTGTCCTTACCTCCGTCCTTACCCCCATCCTTACCTCTGTCCTTACCTCCATCCTTACCCCCATCCTTACCTCCGTCCTTACCTCCATCCTTACCCCCGTCCTTACCCCTGTCCCAGTTTTGTTCCCTGACCTATTCCTGTTTGTTTGACCTTTCCTGCCAGGTGTCCCGATTTCTTCATACTTACGCAGCTGCTACTCAGGATCTCCAGGTTAAAGAGCTTCGTCAGCTGCAGCAGCTCTTCTCCAAGGCCTCTGCTAGCTACCAGCAGCTCCTGCAGGACTCCCAGAAGGCTGAGACGTTGCTGAAGACGTTGACCGCTGAGTTGCAGCGGTTCCTGCGGGGAGCTCGGGCCATATGCATCGAGTCTTGGGCCCGTTTCTCTCTGGTCCGAATGGCAGGGGGTGCTGCTCTCTTGGCTGCTGCCTGCTTTCTCTGTCTGCTTGCATCCCAGTTGGCAGTATCCCCAGGCTTTCCCTTCCGCCCGCTACTGCTAGTACCTGTAGCCTGGGGCCTAACTTGGGCCGTACTGTATGCTGGACTTGCGGTAACTGCAGGGTCAAAGGTGGATACAGTGGTTCTAGGGGCTGTAGCTGCAGCAGGGTCAATCCTCCCTTTTCTGTGGAAAGTGTGGGTTAGCTGGGGGTCCAGTAGGCCCCTGGTACCCCTACTCCCTGTCCCTGGACCTGTTCTCTTGCTCCTGCTCATTCGCTGGGCCACTTTCTTCTCTGATAGTTTTGTTGTTGCTGAGGCCAGGGCTACTCCCTTCCTTTTGGGCTCTCTCATCCTATTCCTGGTTGCTCATCTTCACTGGGAGGGCCAGCTACTGCCACCTAAACTGCTTACCATGTCCCGCCTTGGCTCTTCTGCCCCAACAGGCCCTCCACGGCACAGTGGCACATATGCCCTGAGGCTTGGAATTGGGTTGCTTTTATGTACAAGGCTAGCTGGGCTTTTCCATCGCTGCCCTGAAGAGACACCTGCTTGTCACTCCTCTCCCTGGCTGAGTCCTTTGGCATCTATGGTGGGCGGTCGAGCCAAGAATTTGTGGTACGGAGCTTGCGTGGGGGCACTGGTGACTCTGTTAGTAGTTGTGCGCCTGTGGCTTCGCCGCTATGGTAATCTCAAGAGTCCTGAGCCGCCTGTGCTCTTCGTGCGCTGGGGGTTGCCCCTCATGGCACTAGGCACGGCTGCCTACTGGGCGTTGGCATCAGGGGCAGATGAAGCCCCACCACGTCTCCGGGCCCTGGTTGCTGGGGCGTCAGACGTGCTGCCTCGGGCTGTGGTAGGACTGGCTGCCTCAGGGCTCGTGCTGCTGCTGTGGAGGCCTGTGACGGTGCTGGTCAAGGTTGGGGCTGGTGCTTCAAGGACCAGGACTATCCTCACTCCCTTCTCAGGTCCCCCTACTTCTCAGGCTGACCTAGATTATGTGGTCCCACAAATCTACCGCCACATGCAGGAAGAGTTCCAGGGCCGGCTAGAGAGGACCAAATCTCAGGGTCCTGTCACTGTAGCCGCGTACCAGCTGGGAAGTGTCTACTCCGCTGCGATGGTCACAGCCCTCATCCTTTTGGCCTTCCCGCTTCTGCTGTTGCATGCAGAGCGTGTCAGCCTCGTGTTCCTGCTCCTGTTTCTGCAGAGCTTCCTTCTCCTGCATCTGCTTGCTGCTGGGACATCAGTCACCACCACTGGTAAATACAAACCTTAGCCCTGATCCATCTTGCTTTGAGGCAGGTGTTCCTCACCTTGACCCACAGTCCCACCCCACGTCCCTGCAGTTGGGAAGATCTTCCTGATGTCCTCCCTTATCTCTTGTCACCATACTCGTCCCTCCTCACCCCAGAGGGGAGAGAGGGGTTTCAGAACTCACTTCTCAGAGAAATGCACTTCAGTTACAAACGTGATGCACTGTGAATATATTATGGCATGGTGAGCGCTTTGTGAGGAAGAGAGAAGAATCCAAACGCTATGGTCTTGTGCTATAACTTGAAACACTGAGGCAATGAGAATAGCAATATTGACTGTAAGGAAGGTTGGGATAGCTTGTGACTGTGTACAACAGCTCAAGTACTCGGAGTGGATGGCCCCAGAAGAGAAGGCTATTGATGAGATGTAAAGAAACGCATCTTTTCTTCTAGGTCCTTTTATTGTGCTGTGGCAAGCAGTCTCAGCGTGGGCCCTTCTGGCCACCCAGACCTTCTACTCCACTGGCCACCAGCCTGTCTTTTCAGCCATCCATTGGCATGCAGCGTTCGTGGGATTCCCAGAGGGTCATGGCTCTTCTACTTGGTTGCCTGCTTTACTGGTGGGAGCAAACACCTTTGCCTCCCATATCCTCTTTGCAGGTACCTCTTTTCTTTTCTCCCTAACTTCTGTTGACTCCAGATTTGTGGAAAGAAAGGGAAACTTTGAATCTGGAAGGGAGGATGCAGTTTTTGTTGGCTCATTGCAATCCCTTGGCCCTAAGCTCCCTGCAGCCCAAGCCATCTCAGGGTTGGGGATCAGGCTGGGCTGGTCCCAGGGTCCTCCTTTGATGCCAGTCTGTCCTCCCGGAGGCAGTAGGTTGCCCACTGCTCCTGCTCTGGCCCTTCCTGTGTGAGAGTCAAGGGCCAAGGAAGAGGCAGCAGCTCTCAGGGAGTGAAGCCGAGGGCAGAGTCAGGCCTGAGGAGGAGGAAGAGGAGCCACTGATGGAGATGCGCCTCCGGGATGCTCCACATCACTTCAATGCAGCCCTGATGCAGCTTGGCCTCAAGTACCTCTTTGTCCTTGGAGTTCAGGTGGGTGCAGGGGAGACATGGGAGCTGATGACCTTTGCCCCAGTGCACACTTTACAGTTTTTCTTAGTTTCAAATCCCTTGGGGAATGATCCCTGATGGAGGTTCAGATCAGTGAAGTGATTGCTCATTCAGACCTCAGAGGGCAGATTTGTACTGGCCTGGGCTTTGTTATTCCAATCCTGGATCATCTCTTCTCTGCTGTATCTAGATCTGGGTCCTGTTCGTGGCCTGTCAGACATAATGGAAAAGTCGTGGGTATGGCCAGGATTCTCTTCCAGACTGATGCAAAGGCAGAGATGAGTTACTGATGTCTCCCTCTGCTGGAAGGCAGAGCACTAATGTCAGCATTACAGACAGTGCAAAGTGACTGGTCCAAGTTCACAGGAATCAGTAGTTGAACCAGGACAAGCACTGGGTCTCCTAGCCAGGCGATGGTGGCGTACGCCTTTAATCCCAGCACTCGGAGGCAGAGACAGGCGGATCTCTGTGAGTTCGAGACCAGCCTGGTCTACAGAGCTAGTTCCAGGACAGGCTCCAAAGCCACAGAGAAACCCTGTCTCGAAAAAACAAACAAACAAACAAACAAACAAACAAAAAAAACAAACAAACAAAAAAAAAAGAACTGGGTCTCCTAACTTCCAACCCAGGGTGTTTTCCAATGGTATACACTGCTTTCCTCCTTTGCCTTGCTTCCTCCAAAGTAACTGCCCGCCTCTCTTCCTATAGATTCTAGCCTGTGCCTTGGCAGCTTCCATCCTCCGAAGGCATCTCATGGTCTGGAAGGTGTTTGCCCCAAAGTAAGTGGGTTTGCTTGAGAAGAAGTGGTGTGGAGGGAGAGACTTTGAGGAAACCATGGCTATCCTAAGTCGACAAGGTTTTGCGTCTTAAGAAAGGTATTCGACCTATTGTTATCTGTGTCCTGAAATACTCCATCTTTCTTCACAGGTTCATTTTTGAAGCCACTGGTTTCATTGTGAGCAGTGTGGGACTTCTCCTGGGCATAGCTTTGGTGATGCGAGTGGATGGCGCCATGAGCTCCTGGTTCAGACGATTAGTTCTGGTTCAGCAGAGGTAGCCCAGGCCTTGCGTGTTGGCAGCTGGCCATGGAGAGGGCTGAAGAATCATCTGGCCTGACCTGCACTGGTGCTGGATATTCTGCAGGAGAGACTCAGACACACCTCCTAACCATCATGTAACCAGAGACTGCTTACCCTGGGACTTCATTCTATAATTCAGAATCACTGTGGAGCCTGAGCCCTCGCTCCTTGTTTGGATGCACCTGATGGACGACAGGGGTAGTTCCCCAAGTGGAATCAAATAGCAGTGTAAATGTGTGTATCTAAGATGTGGAAGAGCTCGCCAAGTCAGCCTCCTCCCACCAAGCACGATTAGTTATGTCATCTTAGGTGGGGTTTGCTGTACCCGAGAACTCTTTGTGAGAAACTGTCTGGGTTCTTCCCAAATGTTCTAGTCATCCCATTTGTCCTGCGTCCTCCTTGTTTGTTTGGTTTTGGTCATTCTGTGCTTTACCTGATAGCAGAGAAGACAAGCCCAGCATCGTGAAACACACAGACGTCTGTGTCTGAAGCCTTAAGCAGCACTGTTTCTTCCTCTGGTTCCTTTCCCTCCCACGGCCGTAGAAAGCCTCTCTCTAGTTTTTAGCCCATGTCACCTTTATCACATCTACCTGCCTATTGATTATTCCCAACTTAAAGCCAAAATGAAATGAATGTAATGCATCTTTTTAAAACAATCTCACTATGTATCTGCAGCTTGTAACTCAATGTGGAGTAGGCTAGCCTTGAAGTCAGAGAGATCCACCTGCCTCTGCCTGCCAGAATAAAGGCGTGTGTCAGCACGCCTGCCTAATGATTCTCTTTTATGTTCATCCTGTGCCTCTGCTTATCCCACCACTCACGCGTCGAGTTTAAAGTGTGACATTGTCCTAAAATGTCCACCCGTAGACTTGGGAAGAGGCTCGGAAGAGAGGGAGGGGCTGGGACAGCCCTTGAGGTTTGTGTTCCAGTCAGGAGGAGATGGGACTATGTGACAGATGAATAGATGTTAAAACGGGGACAGCTAGGTACAGTGACTGTGGTGTGAAAGAAAATGGCCCCTAAAAGGAGTGGCACTATTAGGAAGGGGGGGCTTGTTGGAGGAAGTGTGTCACTGGGGGTGGGCTTCCAGTTCCCTCAGTGTGACACTTTTTGTTGCCTGTGACATGTAGCACTCTCAGCTCCAGTACCAAGTCCGCCTGCATGCTGCCACGCTCCCTACCACGATAATGGACTGAACCTCTGAAACTAAGCCACCCCAATGAAATGTTTTCCATATAAGAGTTGTCATGGTCAAAGTGTCTCTTGGCAGCATTAGAAACCTTAACTAAGACAGCTTGGTTCCAGGGCTATATGATGAGACCCTGTTGCTAAACAAACTTCATACAGTGAGAGTAATTTTTGTTTTATAATAGGCTCTCATTATATAGCCCATGGTGGCCTGGAACTTCTGATCCCCCTACTTTACCATCCTGAGTACTAGGATATAGGCATGTGTACTATCATGACTACAAAATTCACCCTGTAGGAGTATGTATTTTTTTAAGGTGTGTCGGCGGGTGGGGGGTGGAGAGATGATGGCTTAGCAAGCAGAGTGAATTTGAACCCTGGTACCGACTCTCACAAGTTGTCCTCTGACCCCCTACATGTGTGCAGTTTCCATGGCCAAATGAAGTAGAATGAAACTCCAGGAAAATTAAAAATTTCAAAAAAATAGCCGGGCGGTGGTGGCGCATGCCTTTAATCCCAGCACTTGGGAGGCAGAGGCAGGCAGATCTCTGTGAGTTCAAGACCAGCCTGGTTTACAAGAGCTAGTTCCAGGACAGGCTCCAAAACCACAGAGAAACCCTGTCTCGAAAAAAACAATAAATAAATAAATAAAATTTAAAAAAATAAAAATTTCAGGCTGAGAGATGGCTCAGGAGTTAAGAACACTGGCTGTTTTTCCAGAGGTCCTGAGTTTAATTCCCATGGACCAGATGGCAGTTCATAGCCATTTCTATAGTGGGATCTAATGCCCTCTTCTGGCATGCAGACAGAGTACATAAGATATATAAATAAATACCATATATATATATATCCAGCAAACAGGAGGCAAAAGCAGGATAGCTGCCACACATTAAAGGCCACTGGGGGCTGAAGAGATGGCTCAGAGGTTAAGAGGGCTGGCTGACTGTTCTTCCAGAGGACCTGAGTTCAATTTCTACCAACCACATGGTGGCTCACAACCATCTGTAATAAGATCTGGTGCACTGTATACATAATTAAATCTTTAAAATAAAAAAAGGCCATTGGATTGTCATAGCAAGTTGTAGGCTACCCAGAGCTACAGAGTGAGACAACTGTCTCAGAAGACCAGAAAAAGTGTAGCGTTCAGTATGTAATTAGCAAAGATGACAACTTTCAGTTCCAGAACAGTTCACCCTCATGGAAGCTCTGTGCCCAGTAAGTACTCTCCTAACCACGGCAGTCTAGCCAAACAGCCAGTTTCTAGAACAGAAACCGTCCAGAGCAGTGGTTCTCAACCTTCCTAGTGCTGCAACCATTTAGTACAATTCCTCATGTTGTAGTGACCCCCACCCATAAAATTATTTTATTGCTACTTTATAACTGTAGTTTTGCTACTGTTATAATTCATAATGTAAATATCTGTGTTTTCTGATGGCGACCCCTGTGAAAGGGTCATCCCACCTCCCAAAAAGATCAAGATCCACAGGTTGAGAACCCACTGGTCTAAATGAATAAGATAGAGTGTTGAGGGATATTTGATCACACTGTGGACCCAAAGATTGCATCAGTTAAATAAAATCAACCTTGGACCAAGAGGTGGATCCAGCAACTAGCTGACAGGAAGTACCACAGAGAGTTGAGAGGGAGCCAGGAAATGGATAGAGAAAGGAACAGGAAGTAGTGAGATGGAACTTTGAGCCTGGCAGGTTTTTGTTTTGTTTTTTTTTTGATTTGGGATAGAAGAACAGAAGTCCTCTTTCTGAGACACTGGCTAAGGAGGAAGCTTGGCTGCTTGCTCCTCAGCCAACCTGAGCTAGCACACGCACACATACATATACACATGCACACACGCACATGCACATGTGCAAAAAACTGAAACACTTGGATAGAATGTTAGGTTGGGAGCATAGGTCCCAGTCCCTTGCATCTATCCCAGCCCCCAGGCCTGGTCTGGACTTCAAATCCCAGCAGGCCAGTCACTTCTGGCTGTCCTGAAACTTGCTTTATAGACCAAACTAGTAATGAACTCTTAAAGAAAAGCCTGCCTCTGTCTATGGAACATTGGATTCAAAGGTGTGTGTCACCATGCAGATATGTCCAATCTTTTTATATTGTAACAAAAGCCATACTTCAGAACCATATAATCAAGTTACAAAAAAATGCAAAAACAATCTCACAATGTTTTAAATAAGTTTGTGATTTTGTATTGGGCCATATTCATAGCTAACCCATAGCACATGTGGCCCTCAGCCCTGTCCAGCTTACTTGGTAGAGAAACAAAGGGAACTAAGAGGGAGGAGTGAGAGAGGGAAGAATAGGGAGTATGGAGTGGCATGAGATGCTCAAAGTATCATCTCTACTTGTTTGAGAATGTCCTTATGGAAGCCAGTACCATGGACAATGAATGAAACCAACGAAAAAAATTTAAGGAAGTACATAATTATTTAAAGTAAAAGCTATAATAATAATAATAATAA